ATTGTCACTGTTCCCAGCCTCGGAGCATGAACTTGGTATATTTGCAGATGTTTCACCAGCATCGTCAATGAGTTCTATCAGGCTCAGCAACACTCGATGCTACAACTCATCAAAGAGAAGTGAAGTCAACCCCTTGACTCACTTTCTGCAGGAACTGTTGTGCTATCCCTCCTCTCTCTGTCCTGGCTCATTCTACCCTTTTTGGTTTACTCTCGCCTTATCACAACTTCTGATTTGTTCACATTCCACTCGCCAAAAGGTTTAGTGTTGCCTCATCACACCTAGCGCCTCTATTTCGATTGTATGAACCGATCAGGGTCCTCCTCGTCTCGTGGATCCGTTTCTTATCCATTTGGTTGACCGAATTCATGGGTTTCAGTCCCCATGTACGTATTACTCTTTGTGTCATTTCCCTCATCTTTCGAAACAAGTACACTCTCGCCTCACCGAGCAGAGAGCCTAGGCTATGATTCCCATGCTTGCAGATATTCGGCGTTAACTTTACGGGTCGTATTATTTGAACAAACCGCGAATGCCGATGTCTGATCGCCGGATGCATTCTGAGTGAATTGCTACTACATTCTAGCCATAATGTCGAATTTATGTGACGGTTGTGATTATCACTCTCCATATTTCCGTGACAGCCAGGCCAACAAAGTTGTAGTAGTTTCTTCGAATGCGCTCACTGAGAACGTCCTCACTTGATTTCCGAAACTTCTTCTTCCTTGTCACCACTTTTCCTGTGTTTCAGGCTAAAGCATTCACCCAGGCGCCTCCTTTTTGCTTGTCGTTAACACGACTAATTAACTTCACATTCATCGTCATCATCTATCAGGAGATATTTTAACTTGTTATGGCATCGCAGCTCTCAACTCTATCGGCAAATGCATACATGAACAAATCATGAGTGTGGGTAGGAAGACCGAGATGGTGAGAATTTAGCATGTTCGCGGTCTAAATTTGGTGAGATAAACATTGTTTGACCTTGTTTTACAATTTGGTCATATTGGCAAAAATACCCAGAGGGACGCGATTCGTCCGGAGGCCATTGTAACATGAACATGGTACATGCTCGAACGATTCGCCCGCATCGATAGTGCGTCATGTCAGGCGTAGCGTCACACCACAGCTCGTCTAAGAGACAAGTGAACTCGATCTCGTTACTAATTATCTGCTAGACAGTTGTAGAATCTCTCCTGTCCTGGACTATTCCCCTAACCCATTTACTCGTATCACCCATTTAGTAAAACGATTTTCTCCTCACTTATCTAATCCTAAGCAGCGGTGTGCCCTTTTGAGCGGATTTTATGAGACTTATTCACATCTTCTGCTGGTTCTTTCATATCCCCACTCTGCTGTGCTGGAAACGTTGGTCCAAGAATGCCGCTAAGTATGCGATTCTCTTTCCCCCGGTCTCATCACAGTCTCCCTCTTGCCCCGTAGGATCCGTCTCGTAGCTGCTTGGTTCAGCAATTTCACTCGCTGCGTGTGCGAGGAGTAAGTCTCGTTGTTAAGCCTTTTATTATACAGAAACCGGCATTTGGATGATGTATTCTTCATTTTTAAAAATGAAGCAAGACCACTGACAGCCAACGGATTTCCGAAGATATACAAGGAAGAAAAATCTCCAATGTTAATAATCAACAATAAGCATGAATAAAAACGCAAATTAGTCAGAAATATATGTGCTTGAAATTTAAGAAATTATTTCATTTTGAGTAGGTATTCGAGACTACCAGTAAATCACATATATTTTTACTTATTTTCATCGTATGCAGACATCCTGTCTGTCTATTTCCACTCGATTTCATTTCGCGTCCATGGAATATCTTCCGCTATTTTGGTTCTCTTCATATCCATGTCTCTGTCGAGGCTGTTGTTACTTAATGCGTAGGCCGATTTTTCTTGCTGTTTACATTTGCCGCATTTTATAAGATACATTTTTGAGCAATCCACTTTGTTAATCTTCTCGGGTTGCATGGGATATTGGTGAAGTGTGTGAACTTTATCTTTGTAATCGTCTTGATATTCCATTTTTTCAGTAACGGTCGCAATTTTTGGATCAGTTCACAGGCAAGCATGCATATCCAATTTTGGTCAACCTCTCGATTCCTGATTTTATTTTCATAATATCCTAATTGAAATCAGCTCCATATGACTCTATATTTATCTTAATGAATTCTCTGCGGTACCGTTACTAAGGTAAATCCGGATCAGTTTGTTCATCTCTTCGTCCTAGAACTCGATGTCCATTAATCTTAAGCTTTTGCAGTTCAAGCTCCTCAGTCTGTAGTTGTGATGAGACTGGAAATTGAGATTAATATCTACCTTATTTCTTTCTGTATAGCCTCCTCATGAGTGCCTCGTCGAAGTACATGAACTCAACATCAAGGATGCGTAATCATTCATACCCCTCCCTTTCCATTATGAATTTAATTATTCCTTCAAGTTGGTTCATAAAGTTGATGAATTCATCCAAATTTATTGTAGTAGGCATTCATGTATCGCATATTCACTCTCGGTTGCAGAGGTGGCTTCTCGAATTCCCTCTTTAATTTGTCCATGTATACATTTTATAAAAGAGGTGAGGGAGGGGTATAGTTGGTAGTCCAAATATTTGCCATAGCTATCGCCGTTGAATGTGAAATGTGTGGTTTTAACTGTCAAGTTGATTAGTCATGTTTATGGCTCCATCTTGTTCCCTTCCGCTTCGCAGATATCCTACTCTCGTTACAGGAGCTTCAGCAGGGCGCGGACTTACTTCTCGCCTGACAAGTTTATGTACATTGCTTGTATGTCAAAATTGACCATTATTTCCGTCCTTGCCAGTACTATGTTTTGGATCCTTTTGGAAAATTCACGTGAATTCATCACGATGTTCATATTGTCGTTTGCATGCTTAAAACATAACTCATACATCTGATTTACTGATAGTCCCGAATGCCTACTCAAAATGAAGTAATTTCTTAAACTTCAAGCATACATAAAACGCTAATCTGTGCTTTGCTCCTGGTGTATACGTGCTATCAAAGACTCGGGGTGGAGTGTATAACATAGCACCTTGAGTAGCGTGGATACGGTTGCAGCGATGGAGTGAAATCATTGAAATGGGCCATTTAGGAAAAGATACTACGAAGCGAGGTGGGGACGCTGATAAGATCAGAAGGAAGAGGGTTGCGGATTAACTCGCAGTCTTGGATCAACACTCCCTACACAGTGACATGGATGAGGAAACCAGCGGAGAATGTGAATAGATTTCAAATAGGCCTAGATAAGCGAGTAAGAAATTGTGTTAGTGAAGGGGTGATACGAAGATAATGAATAGGTGAATAGCCCAGGACAGAAGGAGAGATACCACAACTCGTCAGCACAGATTTGGTCAAAGGATCGACTTCATTTGTTTCTTTGACGAGTTGTAGTGTGGTGCTTGGACTCGCAAGGCAACACTGACGATGCCGGCAAAACGTCTGGAGAAGTATCACGTCCACAGTCCGACTCTGGAAATGATCATCCATACTATGGACTCTGAACTGGGTGCATTCCTTTAGGTCTTCCTTCCAATTGCGAGAACAAGATACTAATGGGGTTAAAGTGAGTGCGCCTTGCAGATGCTAACCATCGGGAGGAGAAACATAGGATATTAAAGAAAATTTTAATAGTGGATTGTTATGATTAACTATGATTA